TCTCAAACTTGGTAACTTTAAGATGTGTGGACTTCAACTCCCAGAATTCCCATGCTGGCTGGGGAATTCTGGGAGTTGAAGTCCACACATCTTAAAGTTGCCAAGGTTGAGAAATGCTGTTCTAGAATGTAGTAAATTACAACATCAGGGAGAAAGGCTACACTAAGCAATTCTCCTTTATGTGCTAATTTGCTATCTCCAAGGGCTTATCCAAGGTATACCGATGTATACATTTTTGCTTTCAGTGAAATTCTTTTAGTGGATACTCTCCCATGTAATTATTATAAAGTACAAAACAAATTGTTTGTTTTCAGCCTTCCATAGAGACGATTATATGGAAGGTCTCTGACTTCAATTAGAAACTGATAGTGTAACCAATGTATGAGAACTTCTATAAAAAAGTAGCCATGCATAGGTCTAAAAAAAACCTATTTCCCCTAAAATCAAAACCCAAACTCCAACTGATTCTGAGGAATTAGGGTTTCACTCCCTATTTTGTCAAAATGTTAGTAAGAAGGATAAAATTATTGTAGTAAGTCTCACCAGTTTCTTATTTTCATTTATTGCAAGTAATTGGCTTAGGAGGGAGGGAGGGGTTGCCAAAAAAAAAAAAGTGTTCCCATACCCCCAATTGTGTTTGGGGATGGATGGATGGAAAATTGTGATGACCAGAGAATTCTTAAATAAAAATTATATGGCACATATGTCATCTCTTATGCCAAACAATCCTCCCCCATCAGCCCTTTGAGGTAGGCCATATCAGGAAACAGACTTCACAAGTCTGATTGGAACTATATTTTACACTTTATACTCTATATTTTATAAGTTATACCCTACTGAATTAGGGAAGAGTGAGTCTGAGCTTCTTTCTCAAGCTTTCTGTTTCCCAGGTTTAACACATGTTTTTCTGACCATTCTGTCTGTCTAGCCTCTCCAACATTATCTCTGTGACTCTTTCTCTCTCTCTCTACACACACACACACACGCAACTGCTAATGTTACTGGGCTGAACTCTTTTGCATTCCGTCCAGTGGGTTTTTCCCCTATTAATCAAAAATTGCCCAAACATCCGGGAAAAGTCTACCTTTGGCTCTGGAAATTATTACAATGACCCCTTGTGGTTTGCACCAGATTTCCTTAGATGTCTGTAACTAGAAAAGAATCATTTGCAGATGCCTTAAACTTGTTCTGTATGGATGCTTTTAAAAAAACAGAACAGACGTGGAATATAAAAGCTGCATTTGTTGTAATCTAAGGGGGCTTTGGATTCTAATTCATCTTACAAACTTGAGAACCATAGCTGGACCTTACAAATGTGATAGAAACTGTTTTATTATACCAATTTTTGTTTTCATTATGCCAGTGTTTCTCATTTGCACTAGTTGTCTTAAACTGTCTTTGTGATTATGCAGATGAATATGTCCTACAGTTAAGGTGAAATAAGATCCTGCTTTGCCTGAAAGAATCAACTTTCTGCACCACAAACCATACAAAAACTGACTCACCGCAATCATTTGAGCCACATAACTTTCGGGACCAGTGTATTCCGTTGGGTCTTTCACTCTGACCAGAACGATAAAATATAGATAGTGCCACATGTTGTGTTCTGATTTTATGTGCTCCTCAAATGAAACTGTCTTGTTATCAAACTTGTCTCGCTCAAGCCCTGCGAAAGAGAAATTCACGTGAACTCTTTCATTCATTAAATCTCCTTAAGAAATTAGTAGACAAAATCCTACTAAATCGGGCCAAAGTGATTTCTAACCCAGCATTCTGGGCCATTCACGAATTGCAGACCTGACGCATTCACAAAGTTCCCCATGTCGACACCTGTCTACTTTGCATTTTTTGAAAAATAACAAGACACAAGCACTGCAAAACATAATCAGAAATAATACTTCTGTCTCATCTTTAGACCTGGTGTGTAAGAAACACACTAAAATAAGGAAGCTATAAATGAAAAAAAGACCCCAAAACATTAAATGGTCCCTATTTTGGAATGATAAATGGTGAGAAAGAACCAGTTTACTTCTCTGTTTTTAAGGACCTGATTTTTTTTTTCTTATCTGAACAAAATTTCCTTAAGTTTCAAAATGTGTTTCGCCCCTCCAGGTTAACTCCTTCCTCTTCCTTAAATGTTCCTGCAATGGCTGTAGAGAAGAGGCAATAGCTTCATAGGGTTTCAGTATGCTTCAAAAATCTTACAATTGGAAATTCTTCTTAAGGACCGGAAAATCTTTTCAACTACAATATCCAAAAATCTGGGAACTCAGATCTTTCCCCTACTTCCAGGAATTAAGTTGGAATGAAAAGGAAGGGACAGGTATAGGGAGAAGAGAGAAAGCCAGCATCCAGCTGCTGGAGAGATAGACATATATTTGAAGTGAACTTGATGTTTCCAAGATGGTTAAAATATCTGAGCCTCTCTTTAGAATGTTATGAAAATGCTAAAATCAAGTCCATTCTGAATGAGGGAAACTCCAAGTGAGTAGTGTAGGAATATATACCCTTGAAAATCCAACTCTCCAGTTTGTTCATTAAGCAAGACATCACATAACTGTGACTTGCGATTTTACTGCAGGCTTCTCCATTAACTCTACCTGTTGGAAGCCAGCTGTGAAGTGTGCAAATGGAGATCATGTGACCACAGGATGCTGCAACGATTATAAACACCCATTGGTTGCAAAGTGCCCATCTTGGTTCAACAGGGTTCTCAGAAAGGTAAGTCCATCAGCTAATTTAGGTTTCAGGTGGGCTGATCTACTCACTGGCTAACAGATTGGGCCAATGGGGTCATTCTGCTAAGCAGGATTTTACTATGTGGTCAATAGGGCAGCTGTGTTATCCCACCAATCATTTTTTATCTATACAAAGGGCTGTTTCCAGAGGGAATGAATTAGAGGATGACAAGGAAGAGATGGAGCAATTTACTCTCTCTTCCTCATTCTCTGTTTTGGAGGCAACCATCTACACTGTAAATCTAGGGCTCTGTGGAACCTCCAACCTGCTGTAGCATTTGGCCCCCCAATTTCTTAAATCAGCTCTGACCAGGATAAAGGAATAAAAAGTGTTCTAAGTTACCCCTGATTAAAGGAGGACCCTCCTAGAACTTGCTCATACATACCACAGATGAAGCAGGTTGTCTTTAAGATCTCCTCTTTTTTCTGCTTTTCACTTCTGAGATCTGCAAAAGTATCGATGATGACTCCAAATATGAGGTTCAGGACAATAATGATGACAATGAAATAAAACAGGAGATCATAAACAACCCGAGCAGCAAACAGTGGCTCCTGAAATGAAACAGTACTTCTATGTGACGTCCAATTTTCCCCCAATTAAAGGAAAATACTTTTGATCAGACATGATGTCATTTTACCTATTGAAGGTAAGCAGTGTGGAAAGACCAATGTGCTGTTCTTGGCTGTTACACTGCATTCACCTTATTTACTTTCAGGTTTGTACTTTCCTATGCTGTAATCTTTTCTGGCCCACCTTACTTACGTCCTCAGCAGCAGGTTTCCCATAGATGCGTACTAGGTTTACATATTGGACTGAGAGTTCAAACTAGATTTACCAGTTTCCAAACCTGAGAATCAGACTTTGTGCCTAAAGGTGAGGAAGATGGAAGGAGATTATGTTGTCAATAGATATTCTGCCCTTTTCTTTCTCAGGCCATACAGTGCACTCTCCTCAATCTACAAGCTGGAGCAATGAAAGAAGAACATGAAGAGGAAAACCCAAAAAGGACCAAGAAAGAGGAATAGAAGCTATTGCATGCTTAAGGTATAAAATCTGGTCCTCCTATGAAACATTAAATGATTCAAGAAGGCTGATAATGAGTACTTTGGGCTAATGCATTGTCCTTTTGAATATAGGCTACTTAAGAGTTTTCAAGGTTAAAACAGGTTTGATGCTCATTTCTAAATATAACACAGTTGAGTAAAATGTTAATTTAATAGTTCTGAGTGAGTGTACATAATGTCTATCATCTTTGTTTTATGAAAGACCTATCTTGCCCTGTGCATGACAAATTATTTTCTGCATTACTTATCTGTGCTGCAAAGAAAGGTTTACAGGAGCGGAGTTGGCAAGATGATACTACTGAACAAAGAACCAAATATTGTTATCTTTCATAAATGAGAGAAAAAGACATTTGATGGGGTCAGAAGACATCATATTTGCATACGCCAAGGCTGATGCCTACCAGTAGAGAAATGTTCCAAGACTGGGACTGGTGAGAAACTAAATCAACTCCCAAGTTCTTCTCAACTTAGGAAAGGGGAAAAAAACAAAACAAAAGGAGGGATAAAAGACTTAATGTTATAATGTCTCAATGAATGGTTTCAATCTAGTTTCTGGCCTGAATTTGGTACTGAATAAGCTTTAGTGACCTTGATGGATGATCTCTGCTGAGAGGAGGGCTGTTGAAAGGGCCACTCCGGTAGACTTTTCTGCAGCCTTTGCTATTAACCACACTACCCTTCTGATGAAACTATATGAAATGGGTGCCTATTTAGTGCCTATGTTCCTACATGAATGATCCTTTCTCAAAGATTAGCACCTGGAGGCCAGGGCGTTGCTCATGATATGAATACCAAGGTGGTCCACAGAATGAGACCACTGGGAATTTGAAGCAAGTTTAATCAATATGCCAGGGATGTCCAACCCTGTTTCTCATGATCAGTCTGGGCAAAAAGTGCAGCTCCTCGCACATTCTTTTCATGTAAATGTCCCTATCACTATGTTATGCACGAGCAATGGATATACCTGGCTTCACCACTGCGTCTAATTTGGCAGTAAGATTTTTATTGATGTAACAGATCAATGCACACATCTGTAAATGATACGCCATATGAAGCAAATGAAATGCTCACATCTTTGGATGGCTTCCGAAGCACATCTCCCACTCCACCACCATTCCTCAGGCCTTGGTTCAATACGGTCACAATACACATCAGCAAAGTATCACATGTCCTCTCAATCTCATCCTCATCACTGTCTTCTCCTAGGGGTATCATAAGTACACACAGCAGAAGATTCCTTTAAGCATCCATTCAGAAAACTTGGCAGTACAAAGCATAGATAACCTGCATACTTTCTTCCACTTTCTGCTAGTAATTCTAGAAGATGCGTGATGTTAATAATTACCTCCCAAATCGTGCGAGGGCAGAAAAAACATCAGTACGTCGGCACTTCATCTTACTGTACCTCAGTGCAAATGACTTTGCATGCAAACGACCTCGTTTCTGTAATGACATCAGCAACTGCATCCACCATAATGGATGCCCCCTCCCCCAAGCTACTCCATCAACCAGAGGTTTCCCTGTAGTTGGATAATGGTTGTGTTTGTCTTGAACATGAGTCATGGTGGGTGAGGGGTGGAATAAAAGAGATCCACCAGAAAGGGAGAGAGATGCTGAAGCATTAGTGGCATTAATATTTTCTCCTGATCCCCAAGCTAGTAGTGGACATTTATTTAGCAGAAAGGGAAAACATTTTATAAGCATTCTACTAACCTGGTTTGACAGCTGGTACTGTAGGACTACAGTTCTCTCTTGAACACGCATCCACCATTGTTGTTAAGCTTGTAGTGGAGATGGTGCCACTGTCTATACATCAACAACAACAACAACAAACTGGAAAATCATTAGGGCTACTCACACTTTGAAAGTGTTTTAGCTGAAGCGGATATTGCATGAATTCAAGCATACCTCTCTGCTACCATTAAACCATGCCCTTCTTTCTCAGGCATCGGCATGAGTTTGAAAAAAGGTGTGGGTGCTTTCAGGAGTCAATTTACTAAAGCTAATTTAACTCTTAAACCAGTTGCCCCTAATTTTTTAGGGCCTTCGAAATGGTGAAAATAGGAGGTTTCATAGATAATAGTGAGGGACCATCCAAATTATTTTTGAAGCATGCCCAGCCCTACTATGCATTATTAAAATAAATATTACATGCTGGCATTTCATTTTTGAGTTTCAAAATTGTTCCCTTGAACAAGCATGTAAATTCCAAAGTTCTGTAAAATCCAGTAGATTAATTTCCTTTCTTACCTTATTAATTTATACTAGTTATTCTCTATTTTTGATTTACCTAATAACAATGATTTAAATAACATCTGCACATAGATCTTCCAAATATGTATTTCTTCTTAAAACTAGTAGCTTTAAATCCAAATATTCAACTATAGAAAACTAATTGAATTTTAAACCATTTTGAATATTTGCTCTGGCAGAGTGGAAATCTGCATTTCAGTTACCATCAGAGAAGACAAAGAAATAAATCAAAATGCTGCTGAAGCATAAAGCTGTAATGGAAATAAAAATATCAGTGCTCCCTATTTACATTATATCACAGGCTTTCATTGCTGCTTCTGCTTAAATTAAAGAACTGACATCAAATCACTTCATCTACTTAAGAGGAAAAATATTCAAAGCTATAAACTGTCAAATATTAAAATAATATCAGTTTATTTAAAGCATTACATTATTTTAAAAAGGCTGACATGGAGGACATTGTGTTAACGTGTTGTTCTTTTGAATTCAGAATATTTAAGAGTTTCCAAGGTTGAAAAAGCTGTTTGATACTCATTTAAAAATACATGCAGAATTGAATAAAATATTAAGTTTTCCAAAGTGAGTAAACAATATATACATCAGCTTTATTGCATTAACTACCTGTTTGGCCGTGTGCTTTATCTAGCTTGCAAAGAAGGGTTTGTAGGATTAAATCTGGCAAAATTATAGGTTTGAAATAGTCATGAAACATTCTATCACTTCACTATGGGTTCTCATTGGACCAGCAACAATTCCATTTTGGATATAACCACCACAAAAGTGGAATTTGTTGGAATATGGTTATAGACCAGGAACCGTACCTGTAACAGATGTTCTATTTTTCAATCTTTCCACATCCATAATGAAGTCATCTTTCAAAAACAAGAACCCAACAATGGAGAACAGATAGACGAGGATAAGAGCTAGGACTGCAGTCAGAATAATGGACCGCCCATTCCGTGTAACACTCTTAATGACATTCAGCAAAGTTTCCTCTCTGTATACCAAGTCAAATAACTGGAGAAGATAATAAACAAGTAGGAAAGGGATTAATGTAATAGGCCACACATTGTTGACAGCCATTTGCCCCCGAACTCAAGGAATGTGTTAGACCAATCCCTTTCAAATGGTCATCTCAGGTTACTTGGAAGCTTAACAGAAGAGCAAAAAAGCCAAAAACAGCCAAGACCCCCATAACTATTTCATCTTCCTATATGCAGCCATAGATGAACGCATGTAGAAGATGCAGAAGGCCTCCATGGAGAGTAACCTGACCATGAGCTCATGGTGGCAGAGCCATGTGGAGGACTTCTTTCTTCTAATTTCACATATTCACATATTCCTGGTTTTGCAGACATAAGAAATGTGCTACTACATTCATATAAATCGATGCTGCCAAGCAATGTTTTCATTCATTCATTCATTCATTCATTCATTCATTCATTCATTCATTCGAGATGAACTTATAAAGCACCACCATTTTTCTATGCTCTGGGCAAAGATTAGCATGTATACAGAAGGGGGAAAAGATAACTATGGAAAGAAGCAAGAGCATCCATGGAGAGGCTCAAAAAAAGTCAAGATGGCACCCAAGTGATCAGCACATGTAAAAAAGGGGTAGGGTTTTGATCACACAATCATAGCCACCATCTTGACTTTTGTGACCACCACTCTTTCCCAAAGAAGCACATTCAGGAATCCCTTCTTGAAATTAAATAAGGCTCACTTGGCAAGTTTGTTTATTCAGGGACAATCAGCAGTTACATTTACTAAAACTGGAAATTCAGTGCTTAGATGAGGTGGACTATGTAGGTGGATAATGTAGAGCTTCTGTCAGGTACAGAACAGTTTTGACTCTTTCCACCCACTTTTCATTTAGTTTTAAGAGACATGATGATTTTGTGGCCTTCCATAATTTTGATTAAGATGTGGATTAAAATGAAGAATATGAAGAAGCTTTAAGGAAGAAATGTAACTAGATCTAACTCATTTGAAAGTATTGGGACTGGAGATGAACATTGACTGAACATAGCATTTATTCTCCACATACAGAAGAGACACTGAAAACAAAAATACTATTTTTCTTACTCAACTGTGAATGGGGGACTTGATCAATCAAGATCCAAGGAGGGCAGAGAGTGGTTTTAAGATTTTGTCCCTACTCTAACTCCTCATATATGAAAAGTAATATTTGATTTGACCCTTAGAAATCCTGGATTCATTAAGAGCTGGCCAAATAATGCAAGATTATTCCCTTAGAGAATTAGGTGGTGGATTACAGGCAAGGCTGTTTATATGGTATCCTCTATGGAAGTGTGATAGAGCATTTCATATTTAATACTTCAGAAAAAAATATAAAACATTTCTTTAAAAACTTGGAGACTGATTTGTTGTTATGGCTTCGATGTCCCCAGGAAATATGGATCATAACTTTGCAATGCAAACTTGGCCTTCTTGTGCATGTATCCACATACATAAGGGGTAGAGTGTGTGCTGTAACATCATTGTGACATATCTTTTCCCATCCTGCCCAAACCTTCAGATTCAGCGGATGTCTCTGTTGTCATGAGCCATTTCATTTTAGAGTTACACTGGTGGAATTATCCTGTTTACTTTATATTTGCATAATCATTGTATTTTTAGTTTAATTTACATGTTTATCCTTACTTTTATGGATTATTGATGACTTGAAACAGATGTTTAGAAATAATTAAAAGTGGTAAAATGAAACAGATCTCTAATCATAATATGGGTACAGAACGGAAGGAGAAGGCTGAAGGATTCCATTGTGAGTCACAAAGGAGGAGTATCTTTATGTAGATATGAAGAAGAAGGGAGGAGGAGGAGGAGAAGCAGAAGGAAAAAGAGGTGAAAGAGAAAGAAAGAGAAAGAAAGAGAAGAGGAGGAAGGAGAAAAGACATTGTAGCAAAACTGGGTTTATTTGATCAGAAGTGGCATGATTTCTTCTACATTTAGCTTGAAAATAAATAAATAAATGCAGTTTAAAATCTAATTGCCATCAGCCTGAAATGATAGCACTATTATACTGATGTTTTCTACTTTCTTATTAATTTTTTTCTTGGTAATGTAGTGCCTTAAAGAAATGGGGATAATCATACTGTATTCTGTCAGAGGACCAGCTGTTTCCTTCTTAAAACAATAATAATGTATAAGGAGTTAGTATAGAATCTGAATGATTGATTGTTTATTAAATCAATTTATATAGCCACCCACTTGATGTTTGACTCAGGGTGGTGTATATAATTAAACACAAATAATAATCATGAGATACATTAAAATATAAGTGAAACAACTTCAGATAGCCCCAGATGATCAGAAACAACCAAGGGACACACCTCCTGGCCCACTGCCAGGTCTTCAGAGACTTTTGAAAGGCAGGAAAGATCGGGGCCATCCAAGTCTTGGAGGAATGCTGTCCCGTAAGGCAGTCCGGTGACAGAGAAGACACGTCTCCTGTGTCCTGCCACATTATGTGGTTTGAGTGATGGCATCTGGAGCATGTCCACTCTGTCAGAACGTATCGGACAGGCAGACAGTCAGTCCCACAAATAACCAAGCCTGGTGCCATGAAGCTCATTTCTATTTAGAGGTCCACCAGCCTAGCTTCTCCAGAATACTCTATTACCAAATGATTGTCATATAAGTGCTACAAGTCTTTCTCTTTTCTGTTGTTTTATACATGCAGGTTATACCCTTTTCCTTTCTCTCCTTTCATTTTCTTCAATTATCTACTTCCTCTTTCATCTTCCAACTTCTCCTGGCTCCTTTCCTTATACAGAAGCGGCCAACTAATCCTTTATTTGCATTCTACTAATGCAGCCATCTATGGCTTCATCACAGACCTGACACAGTAAATGTTGACAAAAGTGAGGAACAAAAGCTAGGGATTTTGAGTATTTCCATTATACAGAGTTTCAATAGACTGCTTACAATTATTGAAATATGAGCAAATTCCTTTTTGGCCTCCAGGGTCACTGAAGTCATTTCACGCAATCTGAGTGCTTTAAGGTTTATTTTATTCCTTGTATATGTATTTATATTTCTATCTTTATACTGTGAGACATACATTCATACACTTGTATATGCATGTAACATCTCCCTTCCTTCCTTCCTTCCTTCCTTCCTTCCTTCCTTCCTTCCTTCCTTCCTTCCT